ATTTTTTTTTTTTTTTAAAAAAAAAAGCAGTAATGATAAAATCCTGTCCCAAAGTACCAACGAGGAGAGAATTGCCAGGGAGGAAAGGTCAGTCTCTCCAGCGTAGCAGTTGATGCAGTGGAAGACCCTGTTCTCCTGCTGCCTGCGTGGCCAGAGAACTTGCCAGCACAACACCAGGAGCGCAAAGAAAATGCATCCTAATGGGAACAACCAAGCAAAACAAAAGCCATCCTAAATCCATAAAGCAGCATTTCTTACTGGAGGAAAGAGAGGACTGAGCAAGTCAAGTTGATCAGTCTGTCCATCTCTCCCTACATAGAATAGATTTGATCTTCCCTTCATATCGATAGTTACGATTTAATCTTCCCTTCTTCATTTTAAACACATTCACATAACATCCCATGGCAACATTTTGGTGTGAGGTTACAGTCCCACCGAGGTTACAATCAGACTGTACAGCAAACATCTCTGGTGCTCATCCCCTTTGAGACAAAAAGGAGCACAAACTTCTCAAAGTGTTCAATAAAAACCTTTCTTACAGCCACAGCCAAGGGCGTATCTGCGGTCACAGGTTAACACAGGTGTCTTGTAACGCTTCAAGTATTGCTTTTTAATTGGGAATGTTTCAGACCCTGCTTTATTCTGAGTCAAAGCAAAGGGGAAGTAAAAGCATTCAAGCTTTACAGGAGCCTTGTTGATATCCAGGCGGGTATCCATCTGACCAGCCCAGCCGAAAGTCCTCCCTGACCTCACAGAAAGTTTAGATCCGTATGCTCGAGCTTCAGCACGTGGCTCCCTTGCTGTGTCAGCGCCACAGAGCTGCTGCTACCGCTACCCCCAGACTAGGTATGGTGGGACAGACCAAAAGCAGCTGTAGCTCCAGGTGACCTGTACTGCCTTTACTTCCTCTGCTCCAGGAGAAGAGAAAGCACTCAGCAATTCACCAGCACCCCGCGAGCTCGGGGCTAATCCTTCCTGCCGCTGTCAAGTTACAGCCCCTCCTTTGCCGCAAAGAAAGGCAAGGGGAGCAAGGTTACCCTGCTCCACCCATCCTTGCCAACCAGGTACTTAACTACCCACGTTTTCTTCTCACCCTTTTAGTCACCCGCTCCAACAATTTGCTGAACTGGAGCCTGAACCAGCTACAAAAGCAGGGCTGCCCCACAGTCCCAATCTTTCCCACTCTCCCCCCAAAACAACAGTTGTATAAAATTTAGCTCGCTACCTGATGAAAACACTACGTATTTCAAAAGGGGTACAGCTGGATAAGAGTTTAAAAATACAGCCACTAATGCAACCTTCTGCGCGGTGCAGCAGGCAAAAACATTTCTGTTTCGATTTTTCAGTAGGCAAAATGCTGGTCTTCTGAGGAAAGAATCACACACAACTGCTTGGTACCATATTAGAGGATTTCTGTATCATCTTTCAAAGATTTATTTAACATCTTCTAAAACTTCCACTAAACTTGGTTTCTTACATCATTTCTATACACAGTCAGATTTTATTTGTTATAATTGTCTTGAGGCTTATAAAAAAATAAGCATTTAAAATGCCCAAAGAGTAATTTTGCTTTAAAATTGTGCTACTGAACTTGACCCCCAACATAGAAGAGATACTTTTGGTAATGAGGTTACCCCAAGCAGTATAAAAATATACATAAAAATAGACAAAAACTCTATCCTCCAAACTGAAGGTCTGTTCGTGGGAATTATTAATTTTTTTTTTTTTTTGTACATCACTGGAATTTCATTATCTTCTGCTAAATATTTACAGAAACATACCCACCCCCATCTGTATGCCTCTGCTCACTCAGGCAGAGAACTGCAGCGTTTAGTTCATCCGTAGGCTTTCCTGTTGGCAAAAATTAATCGCTGCTTTTCACCATGGCACACAAAGTGATGCTACGGGCACGGGCGTCCCTGGGAACGCTCGCAGACAGCCCTGAGGATGCCAAAGGGAAATGAGGTGACACCAATTATTGCTGCTAACTTCATCGAACACGTTGCGATTGCCTTTGCCGGCGCCTCGCTGCGAGCCCACGCGCACCGTCAGCGCTCGAGCGCACGTGCCCGTGCCCAGCGTTTGTTGGACCGGGACAGTGCCGGGAGGGATACGGGCTCAGACGCAGGTCCCTGCAGAGCCCTGGGTTATTTCACCACGCGCTGCAATAGGAAGCGATGTGACCTTCCGGAGCAAAGCAGGCTGGGGAGGGCAGGGGGACAAAATAAAACCTCTCCTTCGGTTAAAACCAGCCTAATCCCGAAAGCTTCACTGCAGGGCCCCGCTGCATCGCATCCCCGGCTTTCTGGTTTCCCTTTTGTTCTGAAGATAAATTCAGAATGCCCAAGCCTCTTGTACAACTGTCCTCAGGAATTTGGGTCTCTCTCTCCAGTCTACCCCAAGGAAATTTTAAATTAAAAAATAACACAAGAAAAAGAAGAAAATAAGTACTCTGTACCGTTCTTAAATGACATTAAGAGGTGAAGTCAAAACTAAGCAACACAACCCCCCGAGACTATGTACATAAAAAGACGTAAGATCTCTGGAAACATAAATATACAGTGTATAAATCCAGGTGTCACCTAAAAGGCTGAAGACGCAGAACTATTTCACAGACAAAAAGCAAACCAAACTCACCGCGCCAAGTGTAGACACACGGCCACGACATTTGGGGGGGGTGTTTGCAGGGAAGAGACCGACCCGTCTTGGTGGTGGTTCCTTGTATCCGCACATGCACCGGGGAAGGGTGCTAGTGGTTTCCAGGGGGTGTAACACAACCGTACGTACATGCCACATTACTACACTCTGTTTAGGGTGCGGGTGAGAGGTCGGGAAATGGGATTAGACCCTGAGTCCCCAATTATTTCCAGGCACATGCTCTGCTGGAGCAGTTAAAGGGGCACCTCTAACTTGGATCCAGCAGGTTCTTTAATATTTCTCACCAACAGAGATACTTGGTATCTCTCAGTGCAGACTCGGAACAGGCCGGTTGAAATTCTGCACCCTGTGCTTTAAGAGTTACCATGACTTTCATGGAAATAATACAGCCTTGATCAGGGTAAAAGACTAATGGAGGTCTTTAGCCCAATCTTAAAGAGGTTTGCTTGCTACAGCATGGACATGCTACAACTCCGACATACATAAATAGGTGCCAGTTACTATAAAGTGACAATGCAGTGTCTTAATTATTCGAGCATTATCCTTTCTGCTGTTAGGGAAGATGCGAGAGTGGTTAGGAGATGTGGGGAGGAGAGCTGGTGCTTGACGGAGGCTGCGAGTGGAACAGGTCCAGCTCTAACTGGAAATGTAGGTAGACAGCCAAAAGACACTTTTAGCTTTACTTGAGACACGGTTTTATGGCATGCAATAAAACTCCTAAGACAACTCTTTATACAAAGCACACAGCATCTCCAGTCCCACTGGTGGTATCTCAAGAGAACAAGTAAAGCTAAGAGTCTGCTTGCAAGGGGAGGCCGCGTGTGTGTGTGTGTGTGTGTGTGTTCGGAGCGAGTGAGGGAGGGACCGGGTGGGGAAACGTCCTGTTTTGCTGAAACCAAGCTCTTCGGCAAACCTCCTTCCTTCTATCGCTGGCCGGCCTCCCGGATCCGGCAGGCCACCGCCGTGG